ACCATTAATTTTTGTGCTTTATCTGACAGGACATAAATTGGACAGACATAGCAAAAAAAGCCATACGTCCACCATACATGCCGGTCTGGCGGAGACAGCCACGTCCAGTTGAGAAGGTCGATGTAAACACCAATGGGGACCAGTCGGGCGTGGCTCTTCCCCTTCAGCCAGAAGTCACCCCGTCGCAGAAGCATGACACTACTTTCAAGGTCAGAGCAATTACTACTTGTCTTTGAGTTTAGTATGTGGTATATAAGAACAGGTTTATTTCTTGTGGTTCTGCCATTGGAAAAGGCGTTGGAAGCTGATAACTCTACGGCCTTGAGATTTTGTGTGTGTTTTAGGCCTTAACTTGTATTTGATGTGGTGCGTGCTGTAAGATGAAATTTTCCCACTGCCATACTCATGGAGGTTTATGTGCGTGAATGGCAGGTATTACGAATATGATGGTTATAGTAGTGTGAGTGTTCCACGATAATAACAACGACCCGGTGATTGTTAACTCCCGAAAAATGTATTTTATGACTAAGGAAAAAGCTTGCTTCTAGCCTGGGATTTCATTGAAATAAGCTGACCTGAGGTCTTGGAAATGTTTATTTGTTATGACGGTCTTGAGAATATATTACCACTGATCACAGATAGGATGCATAATTCAATTCAATTCATTTATTTACGTGTTTGCCAACAGCAAGAAGCCAATAACAGGCAAACACTGATAATACATAAATAATAATGAAAGAATAATGAATAATATTACACAAACAGATTAACTAAACACATACATGTACAATATAACAGCCAAATACAGGCAAACACAAAATAGAATCAATATTATACACAAAGAAAGATGAATGAAGAAATATAAATAATAGCAAATAAGGACTGTCTTAGCGCACTGCTCACACTAAAAGTAGAAAATTCTCTTAATCTGTACTGAAATATAAATTGCTTGCTTTTTGTGACAATGTTATACATTTACAGAGTAAAACTGAAAGATGCAACACAAATATGAGAATGAGTTAGACTTAACATGTAGTAATCATGTGCCTAGTCATTAACTCATCGTGGATCTTACAGGCTGAACTCAGGGTACACGTTCCTTTGCCATTTTTATTCTCATTTCTGTACCCATATTTGAAGACCGATTTCATTACTGCTATTTTCCAGTTCTCAATTCTACCACCGTCTTTCCACAAAATATAATTTTTTTATCATATAACACCATAGTAAGAAAGTTATGGTACTTATGACTTCTGTAATATTGGTATTGCTGTGATGTTCATATGTGTTTCTGGCAAAATTTGTAATGGAAATTCTGCAAGCAAAATGTCAGAGGAGTGCCCAAGCACAGTAAGTTATTGGTATTTGAGCTGTATTAATTTCTCAGAAGTTGTGTCTGTCAAAGACAAATATTGGAATTAGTGCTTTTAAGTTATATCTCGCAGAACAAAGGATGATGTATTGTGAAACTTGAAACATACACAAGATGAACTAATTATTTATTTTACACATCCGCAAGTCCCTCGTCATAGTCTTATACAGCAATAAAGGGAATTAATAGTCGACAACTGCAGACACATGTGTGATGTTTGCGCACCTAGAATTGACATTATTATATCATGCAACGCTGTGTTGATCTGTGTATGTTTGACAGATTTGTGTAGCATTTTGGTTCATGCCATAAATTAGGTACCACCATCTTCTTACTCTGGCGACTCATGGTTACACCCAAGGCAGCTAATGTAGGACTAGTGGGCAAAGCGACGCTGGGACAGGCTGATCTCAGATTCTCAAAAGTTCTTTTTCTCTGTCTGTAACACTGCACGACCGCTTTATATTTACTTGTATATGATTTTGATTGGACAGTTGACCTGTTAGCCACTACATTTCTGTGAGGAGTCGGCCATCTTTACGACAATAAAAACACGGCATGTCGCAGTAATAATTTGAAACATGTAATTAAAATACGAAAGTTAAAACAGAAATATTGCGTAGCGGTTAAATCCAGTGCATAACGTATTTTCCAAAGCGTAAGACATTTTCGTGGAAAATTATGCATGCATCTTACAGTTCCAGAAACACATTACATGTAATGATACATATAGAGGCTTTTATCTGCTATGGCAGTTTTTCCAAATACAATTAACAGTATTCTGGATCACTAGCAGGATTTCATGAGTATATGATAGTTCATATATTTCAAATTTGTGCCACTAAACAAAGATGGAACTGATTAGCAATGTGTCATATATTCTTTCTCACTATAGAAACTATTATTAGGGGACATTAACCTGCCATAAATTTCTATGTACATGGGTAAAAATCTTCACAGAAAATGTGTACATCAATGCATTGATGGGAATTTAACCCATAACTAAAGTATTTGATATGTATATTAATTCTTCAAGTCTATACACAAACCATTTTAAATATTGATGTTAAAAATTAAAATTGATATAAATATTTTGCGCTATTCATCGTTTCCTCGATGTTACAATTTTGCGCTATATATTAAAACATGTTTCGATGTCTCAGCATCATCTTCAGGTTTTTATTTTTAAAACTATTCTATATTTTTTAATGCACGCTTTTCACTAATTGTAGATTGTAGGTTATTGTTGTGGGTGTTCTTTGATCTTCTGATTCTTTTGCATATTATGTGGCGTATTATGTTATTTGTTCATTATTCTGTGAAATTATCAACAAAATAATTAACATTATTAATATTATTTATATGAAAACACCCACATGTGTATAGATTTGAAGAATAAATATACATATGAATTGTAAACACAAACATGACGCATCTAAACTATGAAGTATTTGAATGCCCATGATGTGTGCAGCATCTTTCATGGACTATATATTATAGTACATGAGTTTGTGTTTATGGATTAAATAATCAACTTAGATCTCTTAAGCAGGGTAGAAGAGGCTCATGAAATACGTGTAATCAGGGAATGAAAACAGTTTAATTGACGAACGTGTTCTGTTTGTCCATTTGCTTCCATTTCCTTCTTTGAAAGTCATAATTATTAAGAAGGATAAAGGTTTTGATAAAACTATTGCAAGAAGTGACATTTGTTTCCTTGTCACCAGATACCCCAGGTGCCAAAGGAGAAGCGAAGGAAGTTGAGTGACAGTCCTGCTCCTCCAGATGGGGTTAAGCCAGCATCACATAGTCCAGCTGAATCGGCAACTACATCAGATTGTGCATTGACATTTGTTTCCTTTATCACCAGATACCCCAGGTGCCAAAGAAGAAGCGAATGACGTTGCAAGAGAAAGCATAATAGCAATTCAGAAGGGTCCGCGTGACAGTCCTGCTCCTCCAGATGGGGTTAAACCAGCATCACATAGTCCAGTTGTATCGGCGTCTACATCAGATTGTGCATTAAAGACGGAATCTTCTATCAGAATGTCACAGAAGAGAAAGCATAATAGCAATTCAGAAGGGTCCACAGTATTACCTAAGAAGCATTGTCCTTCGAGATCTTCAGATAGCAAGACGCTGTTGAAGATAACACAGAAGGTGGACAAGGAAGGAAGACAACTTAAAAGAAGATATTCATACGATGACAAAAGCGCACAATCTTGTGAAGAAGTGCAGCCACACAGACTTTCTACAAAAAGAAGGAAGACAATGTAGATCCTTGTTTTGCTGTAGGGGCGTAGGTAGAGTCATGATTGGAATAACTGAGCAGACGGTCGCTATTCAGTAAGATGTCAAGATCATGGGAGTGAGTATGAAGACGACTGCCTTCTACGATGTAGCAACATGTAGTCTGGTAGAAGATTACCAGTGTTTCAGGGGTGATCGTTTCCTTTGCAATCAGGATGATGAGTAAGCCAAGCGTGAGGAGTGGTTTTACGATTGAGGAAACAGTCAATCAAGGCAGAACATTGGCTGGACCTGTGATAAAGGTGCACGAGGGGGCATACCACATCCATAGCATATGGAGGGTGAAAGGACATGTAAAGTGAGAGTGGGTATGGGAAATAGCCCTTATCAGGGCGCTTCTGAGACCAATGGAAATATTTGCGGGGGAGAAAATTTAAAGGAATGGAATAAATATCATGAGAGTTGGAAGACAGAAATTAAATAACTTTTCACACTCAATTCCTAGAAGTTCTGATTTAAGATATTTTTGATTTCCTGGTCAAACTGCAAAACGTTTGTTTGTTTGTTTGGTTTATATATATATATATATATGCGCTTCTTCCTTGATTCTGTGACTACATATTTAGTGCAGACAGGCAACACTTTATGTCAAATGGTGTTTTTTATCCTAGCTTAGTGTTTACTGCTCCCTGAATTTAATGAATAAATGGAATTTATTCTCGTGTGCGTGGTTCACTTTTAACACATAGTCATGATGGACGCAGCAAATACTTCTAAAACCTCACGTCCTCAGACCTTCCTCACAGCAGATGCAGTATTGTTAAGAACCTTAAAGCACAGACCATACAGAAGACTTCAGTTCAAAATGCTTCTAATTTCTCCGCAATTGAGGAGCCTTAAACTGAGGTGTTCTCGCTTCACCGTGCCAGACTTTACAATAAGCATTCTGGTCCTTATCGTTAATGTTTGTGCTTCGTCCTATGTGGTCCCTGGTGCAACTACTGGGGCAGAGACTGCAGTTTGTCCTCCGCAGCCTGACGAAACTCTGCCTTTCCAAAAGTGGAAGCAGCAAGAAGGAGAAGGAGTAAGTATACAACAAATCAAGTGACGTAAGTACGTTGGTCATCATGTCCACATCTACCTGCCCTTTGACCTTATCTTGGGCGTCTTGTGTCCGAATATAACGAAACCATTGTTCCGAATCGCAGGTCATCGAATCCTGCGCAAGTGTACAAGGACCTATACAGTATGACTCTGAGACAGACCGACGAGGATACGCCGTTGGCCGTAGTGAGCCATTTACTGGACGTGCTGTCTAACGTCGAGTCTGTTCTGTCCCAGCACCAAGAGACGTCAAGGTAACGCCGAATGTGATTTTTGTTTGTTTGTTCTTGTATCATATGACATGTTTCTCGCTTAAGACTGTGGTAATGTTATAAATAAAACAAATATTGTATTTTTCATGCCACCCCTATCCAGTTATTGGTCCTTTCCTTTTACCTGTGGAACATAACCAAACATTTCCATTATCTTTATTTTGTACCAGGATTGCTGTCTACTTGCCCTGTCCTAAAGATGGCACTGTTGAGATTGTGCTCTCTGCTAATGATCATTTCGTGTTTGTTTTCCTTCTCCCAAGCAATTTCTGAACCAGATTACAGTTCTTTCAGAAAATCTGTTAATTCAATATATGCCTTCATTGCCAAGTGTAAAGGCAAGGATGTTTCTTTATAACAGATGCTCAAAGGTTGCTCCTCCATTCTACACACATGCACGATCACGACGTACACAATACTGACGAATTCGTACACACCAGGATTTCCTCGAATCATCTGGCTTGCTTTCTGCACACGTTCCCATAGGTCGTCGTCATTGTTTATGGGTGTTGCATAAACGACGGACTTCGAGTGACCCCACAGATGAAAGTCCATTGGAGTCTGGTCCGATGACCTCGTTGCCTTGCTACTGGGCCACCACGCCCAATCCATCGCTGTATATTTGGAAATAAACTTTCAGGTTCATTATTTAATACTTCTATTTTTTTTACGTTTTCTGTACTGTCTCATATATTCTGCATTACGGACTCTTTTAGCTTAAATGTCATCCATCTTGTTATCTCTACATAGTATAACGCAGAAAAAGATTTCTTAATAATTCTTATATAAGAAAAGTACTTGGAGATATCCGTCTTCTGGGTTATTGCGCTGTGTAGTCTGGTCGATGTTAACATCGACCAGACTACACAGCGCAACAACCCAGAAGACAG